TTTTCTTGTCAGTTTATATCAAGCAATCACTATGACAGCTTGATAAATTAACTTTTTTATTTTATTTTTGGCTATTAGGCTGATCCAAACTTAGGAACAGCTAATAATAACCTTAGAGACTGATCCTGACTTTAGTCAGATTCAGATCTCACTAAAAGCTCTTTGATCGTGCCTAGACGATCAGAAATGATACATTTCACTCAAAAGAGATACTTTGTATCCTTTCAGTGAAATGTATCTAAACATCGGGCTCTCGAGCTGTCAAAACAAATAGCAGAGAGGTGAGGTGAGTCACTGCTGCCTCTCTGCTATTTTGAGCTGTCAAATACGGGATCGCAAATTGCGGTCCTCTATTTGCATGTAACGGCTTCATTCTTTCATTAATGAAAGGAAGAAGCTTTTACAAAAAGCTTAATTATTTCATTAATTAATGCCTCAATACTGAGACATTAATGAATGACTGTTAAATGCTGAGAATCAGCAAATACCGGCATTACAAAGCCTGATATAACTCGTCACGTACAGTGTACGTGGCCAGTCATATAGGCACAAAGTGACAAGACGTACACTGTACGTCTCCCGTCACAAAGGGGTTAAGCATTACCATTCTGCTGCATTACATACAAGTTGCACTAATTATATATTTTTTTTAATCAGTAGATTTTGCTGATCATATTTTGGGGTAAATATATGAAAGTACACACATTATGTAAACAATGTCCCAGGTAGAATTACAGGAAAATGCATTTTTATTAATTTTTTTACATTTATTTCCAGTAAACACCAAAGAAATATAAATATATGCATCCAAATTTGGTACAAACATAATGCTCTATCTGTCCTGAAACAAAATTATGTATAATACCTTGGGGTAGACTATAAAACCAAAAAGGTATAGCCAGTTAAGTTATTGCCAAAAAAAAAATGCTCTGGGACTCGAGGATTTAGGCAAAAAAAGCCCCAGGGACTCAAATGATGTCGTGATGTTTGGAATCTGTGATTTGTTTATTTTTAATTTGCCTGAATATCTGCATGCATTTCTACTTGATTTGAAAAGAACCACGTAATTGAGGATTTAGTGCAATTGTGATGCGCAAATTGTAAGATTCTCCACAGATTCACTGATTTTAGTTTCTAGCTGAATGTACTATATAAAACCCTTTTCTAGTCTATTTCATACACATACATAGCTTATTTCTATGCTGTTACTAGCTGAGCATAAACATATGTGTTTTTCCTGATAGATACCATACCTCCTGCTCAACAACTCCATGCCAGAAGCACGGCCAAGGATGCAACCAGTTGTGTTTGGAGAGAGTATTGAAGTGAATCCTGAGCCAATACAAGAGATAAGGTAAATCAGATCTTTGAGCTGTCCATCTTTTTGAGCTGTCCATCTTTGTGAATTGTCCATTTCTGTGAGTTGTCCATTTTTGTGAGTTGTCAATCTTTGTAAATTGTCCATCTTTGTAAGCTGTCCATCTTTGTGAACTGTCCATTTTTGTGAGTTGTCCATGTTTGTGAGCTGTCCATCTTTGTGAGTTGTCCATCTTTGTGAGCTGTCCATCTCTGTCCATCTTTGTGAGCTGTCCAACTTTGTGAGCTGTCCATCTTTGTGAGCTGTCCATCTTTGTGAGCTGTCCATCTTTGTGAGTTGTTCATCTTTGCGAGTTGTTCATCTTTGCGAGCTGTTCATCTTTGCGAGCTGTCCATCTTTGTGAGCTGTCCATCTTTGTGAGCTGTCCATCTTTGTGAGCTGTTCATCTTTGTGAGTCGTCCCTCTTTGTAAGCTGTTCACCTTTGTGAGTTGTTCATCTTTGTGAGTTGTCCCTCTTTGAAAGCTGTCCATCTTTGTGAGCTGTTCATCTTTCAGGAGGCTATTCTGAACCAATCAGGTTCTCTTATATAAAATGGTTTAATGGCCAAAGAAAGGAAAAGATCAATTCTATTTAGGACAGGCCAAAGAGAAGGGTATGTTGCCAAAACTGATGAAGTTGTGATGTACATGTTTTAAAAAAAAAATATTTGTTACTGTGAAACTATCTTTATAAAGAATTACTTATTTATTAGTGATTGTATTATTTAACATGGAATTTTCACAGAATATATGTTTTATTTAGCTACCCAGTTCTAATAAATGGGACAATCTGTCTAGGCACAAAGAGATCACATGGCACTGCAATATTCCATACAAATATTAATTTAGGGGTGTATTTATAAAACATTTGCAGAGTAGTTTACTCTGCGAACACCTGGCTTTTATATTTGCAGCACATTATGGCCACTAGATGGAACCAAGTTGCATAGGAATTTCCTATATACTGCAATTCATGGATAAATAAACATATTCTGTATTTGGTCAACTTCTATAACAAACAAAAAACTTTTTTGAAGTTGTGGATGCCACAATTAAAACACGTTTTCTGTTAAATTTGAATTATTTGAATCATATGACATTAGTATATGTACATGATTTATCTTACCTTAAACTTCTTCTTACAGGTGCAATTCCGAGATCAAATATGATTCAGAAAAGCATTACCGAGATCATGTGTTCTATTCTCCAGTTCCTACCATCACGTCCTACAGTGAGACCATCATCTCCACTCCAAACTGCACGTGGAGGAATTACAAATCTCAGCTGCTCTTTGAACCTCGCAACAAACCCTTAAGGTTTCAAAGCACAACCATCATATACCCCAAACATGCCAAGAACATTTACAGAACAACACTCAATTACAATTGTGGGGGGGCCAAGAAATGGTTTGCATCTAGTGTGCAACTGGAACTGTGCGAGGAAACAAGCCCATGTATTATATATACTGACAGCTTATAAACCTGGTCAAGGACTATTCCCACCTCACTGAAGAACACACATGGTTACCAATGCACTTGGGCTTACCAATATGAGATGGTGGATCTATAGCCTAAGGGGTTTGGATTCCCCAAAACTAACATTATTACAATGTGACTGTTTATGATTGAAAGACTTGTACACCATGTTGGAACTTCCAGTGCTTTTATGTGAATATTGTATCTGTTTGCTACTGTGTACTGTTTATTTTATGCTCTTTTGTACATACCTTCTTTTTTTTAAGTGAAGCAGTTTCAAGGGAGTTTAATATCAAATGTATTGTTGTAACCTTTTCCCATCTTGGCTAAAGCTGGCCATACACTATCCAGTGTTTTTTCTAATGCAATGAAGATTCAAGCATCACTTTAAGGGCCCATTCACACCATAGCAGTGTGTTAATTGCATGATACTGTTCAATTAACATACACTATCGCACAGCACACATAGCCTGCATTACCATGCACTAGGTGCATTGCGTTGCCATTCATTTGAATTGGCACCAGAACACACCTCCTGGAAGCCAGGTAAAGTATACCTGTGATGAACATGAAACTGAGAAGAAAGCATGTGAATTAAGTTCAGGCACCGATTTTTATCCATGTGTATCTTTAGAAGTCTGCACAACCCCATGGTAGCGATGAATGCTGAATCCCAATACCCTGTATATTGAACTACCAAAGTCTTTGATAGTCCTGTATACAGAGTATTGTGCTTTGGTTGGAATTATATTTGCCATACACCTGGGGGCTCTAGATCTTTTGACCTTTGTAGGATTTGTTGTTTTGCTTCGCATTAGCGTTGAATGCTGACCCGTTTCCTTGTATGCCTCCCTATTGGCTTCTATATGACCTTTTTTATGCAAATCCATTGGCCAATATTTCTGGGCCAACCTTCAAGAAACCTTTCAGAATAAACGTCTAAATTAATATGCAGGCATAAATAGGTGCTTATGGCGTCATTTTCATGACAGGCATTACTTTAGTATAAATGACCAATATCAAGATTATTGAAGCAATGAGAATCTATAGTGTGGAAAATCTGTTGTTCAAGCACAGGACAATTTAAAGAAAAACAGATTATCTAATAAATAGAAATTATTCACTGAAGAGGGAGAGAACCCTCAGCCCAGAGGTGCAGGTGAACTACTCTTGGCCCCATCAGTTGGTGCAGTAAGCGGGAAAAAGACAAGCATTTTTGAATCAGGGTTCAATAGCTGGGCTCCAACACGGCCATGGCCCCAGTAGCTGTTGTTACATTGGCTGCCACGTTACTTATTAGACCTGAAATCTGTCTTCCAGAAAAATAATGCAGCTAAAGTAATTTGACTTGCAAGCAACACATTTCCAATGATTGTCTGTCCGTTTGAAGAATTGCAAATAACAAAACACCTTACTGTGTATGGCCAGCATAAAAATATTTAGCTAAAATAACAATGTATCAATCATCTGCTATTAATGTCACGTAAATTGTGAATATGTTAATCTACCTGGAGCTTTAGAGTTGTTGGTAAGCAATCTTCAGAACCAGCTGCGGGAAGGCCAGGGTAACACAAGAACAGATACTCCCCAAACAGAAAGTAATTTTTGTGTATTTTGGGGGCTTTAATTTTGTATCAGAGAAGCAGGTCGGGTGGTCAGCTCTTATACAGAGGGATCCGTGCAATGGGTGGTTTGGCTATATAACAACCACCAACATTTGTAAGAAAGATAAGTATGTTATGTCTAAAGGAAGAATGGTTGCTGGTAGAAGTAATGACAGCCCCTTGCAGTTGCATCCTATTCCAACCTCCAGAGTTATTTGCATGTCAGTCAATTCTTCTGTTACAGTTTGTATGCATACACTCTATTCCACTGAAGCTACACCTAAAGTATTTCTAAATGCAGGGCTGGGCTATTCCATTGTGCAAGGATACCAATGTGCCTTAAATACAGTCAGTGCCTAATTTTTTAAGCTTTCTCTTTTTTTGAGTCGGATAATAAAAATAAGTATTTTTCTGAAAGAAAATGACAATGTAGTGGATAGTTAATGTAACAAAAAGTATATTGTCTCCCTTTGTTCGATCTTATATTACACTCCAGAGGTTAAATAATTTGATTGCATGTTTTATGCACATGGGATCTCTAATCGCTAGATAGTCTTTTGACCTGGAAACAAGGGAAACCAATGTATGCATTATTGTAGCCTTGATTTTCAATGTTGATAACTTTAGTGTATACAGAACTTTTAATTTCAGTTGTCTGTATAGTGATTTCAAGGTACATAGAATGGATAATACATATGGACTTAAACCCCTATGTAAGCATAACACTGAGTGATGATGCCAAGGCAAGTGAACAGTGCCTTTAATAAAACTGTATAGCACTTAAGTTGGTTCTTCGATAAACATCCCACTGCAGAAGTGTGGGATTAGGCATCGTGTATAAAGTTATTGTTTGCTATATAAAGTTACAGTTTGCTATGTTTCTTATCTTGTGTGGAAAAATTAAAAAAAATAAATAAAATACAAATACTTACAGGATGTGGGGTAACTGTGATTAAAATGCATTTCTATTTTTGATATTTGGATACATTGCAAATAATTGGTAATTTTTGGTTTGCATTTTGGAAAAATCAAAGCATATTAAAGCTGTTTCTAACTGTGATGTGGAGGCTTTCTATAAAATTGGCTGTAGTTCATAATGACTTGTTTCTACTTTTGCTTATTACACCTGGTTTCCACATGCATACATGTATAAGAAGGTCTACTTTACAAAAAAGGACTTTGGACACGTCTTTTTCTGCTCTTGGAAGACTTCAGCAGGCCATAGATGAGATATCTGCCCATACTCCCATACTTTGCTCTAACACTGGAAGTAACAGCGATACACACCTGAGACTTTGATCTTTTCCTCTCCTCCACATAAAGGACTGGACCAACTTATGGACAGATGTTTTAACAACTAACCAGTTCCTACAGCTGCCAGAGGAGCTTGTGTTGGTCTTCAAAGGCCCACTTATCATGCCACCCATGGCTAGTTCTATTTTGCTATTTATACGTATTATATATTTATATATTTGCTATTTGTTCTGAGGAAGAATGAACTCTGATTAGGCATTTCCTGCATTTATTAGTATCAGCCCTTATCAGGAGCAAGGCAAGGGGGTATATTTCTGCATGCAGACAGCGAATATACTGTAACATCCTGCAGCGTGAAGCTATGTATTTTCACTAGTAAAAAGAAGTAGCCCAAACATATTTTACTAAAAGAAATCCACCTGTTATAAGATGTTCTATAATACAAAGTAAATGTTTCCAGTTTGAAAAAAAGGTTTTAGAAAAGAAAAGAAATCTCTTATGCATGAGCCAATTCAGGGATCGGCAAGGTGTCCGTGACTGGTCCTTGCAGGGTCCGCCGCGGTCGTAAGGAACAGTTGGTACGTCCCAACTCCAACCCCCCCCCCCCCCCCCATATGGTACCTTCCTGCCCACGTGCACCACAGAAAAAGCAAGCAGCTGGCCTGGTGCCCAAGACTGAATAGGGGCCCGACCCTGGGGTGGGGGTAGGCCAAGCCTTTGCAGAGGACAGCAGCTATTCTCTGCAAAGGCTTCCCTCGCCCCCACCACAACGTCGGGCCCCTATTCAGCCTTTTGCACCACCTGCTTGCTGCTACTGTACTGATCTCTGCAAAGGATTCCCCCACCCCAGCGTCGGACCCCTATACAGCCTTTGGCACCACCTGCTTGCTGCTACTGTACTGATTCTGCATCAGCACAGTAGCAGCAAGCAGCTGGTGCCCAAAACTGAATTATAGGGGCTTGACGTTGAGGGGGGAAGCCTTTGTAGAGATCAGTACAGTAGCAGTAATTAGCTGGCCTGGTGCCCAAGGCTTCCCCCACCCCAGCATCGGGTCCCTATTTAGCCTTGAGCACCAGGCTAGCTTGCTGCTACTCTGCTGATCTCTGCAGGGCTGAGAGCTCATACGTTTCCTCGATCGCCGGTACGGTCCATCCACTCGGTCTTCTGGAGCTCTGCCCACCAGCCAATGAGAAGAGACCTCACCCCTCCCATCCACCACACGAGGACCTCTGGCTGGGAGGGCGGAGTTTATCTTCAGCAGCAGATGGAGACTATGTCAACATCGGCTGGGCCTGCACGCTCCTGCCAGCTCCCGCCCCCGAGACGCAGCCAGCACAGTACTGGTGAGTGGCGGCCTGGAGAGCCCTGAGGAGAGCCCTGTGGAGAGCAGATGAGAGCCCTGGTTTACCCAGGGCCCTGTGGGGGCTCACTAGGGCTCTGTGGGTCTAACAAGGCTGGTGAGACTCCCCAGAGGCCTGCTGCCCTGGTGAGGCCCCCACAGAGCCCTGGTTTAACCATGCCTCTGTGGGGTCTCACCAGCCCTGGTTAAACCCCACAGAGCCCTGTTGGGACTCTACAAAGCCCTGATGAGACCCTATAGAGCCCTGGAGGGCTCTTTGGGATTTCACCAGGGCTCTTTGGGATCTCATCAGGGCCCTGTGGGGGTCTAACCAAGCTGGTTAGACCATACAGAGCCCTGGCGAGACCCTACAGAGCCCTGGTTTACCCAGGGCTCTGTGGGGTTTTACCAGGCTTTGTGTGGTCTAACCAGTCCCCACAGAGCCCTGGTAAGCCCCCACAGAGCCCTGGTCAAACCCCAGAGCCCTGGTGAGACCCCACAGAACCCTAGTTTAAGCAGGGCTCTGTGGGGTCTAACCAGGCTGGTGAGACCCCACATAGCCCTGGTGAGACCCTACAGAGCCCTGGTGCTGGTGAGACCCTACAGAGCCTTGGTTTAACCAGGCCTCTGTGTGGTCTCACCAGGGCTCTGTGGGTTCTCACCAGCCTTGGTTAAACCCCACAGAGCCCTGTTGGGACCCTACAAAGCCCTGGTCAGACCCTATAGAGCCCTGGTTAAACCGGGGCTCTTTGGGATTTCACCAGGGCTCTTTGGGATTTCACCAGAGCTCTTTGGGATCTCACCAGGGCGCTTTTTGGGGGGTCTCACCAGCCTGGTTAAACCCCACAGAGACATGGTGAGACCCCACAGGCCTGAGTGGGGCCTCATGTTTAGGTTTCGCCTAAGGCCTCGCAAACTCTAGAGCACAGGAGTACCAAGCAGCTGGTGCCCAAGGTTGAAGAGGGGCCTGACGCTGGGGTCGGGGTAGGGGAAGCCTTTGCAGAGCAAAGCATCCCTTTTATCTCCCATATTCGATAAAATGCAAGCTTTTTGCAATGTATGTTGGAATTTCCTGAGTCTGACTAAATATCGCACTGCCCAGCATAGAGCCATCCTGAGACCCTGGAGACATGATCCTGAGGCCGTGATCCGGAAGCAACACAGAGTATGTAGCTTCAAATCTTTCTGCAATACTATAGAATATATTGCTGGGATTTG